TCGACACAAGGCAGTGTAAGTCAACCGAGCTGTGCATGTGTCTACACCAGGGGTGGGCAAACTTTTTGGCCTGAGGGCCACATCAGGTTTCCGAAATTGTACGGAGGGCTAGTTAGGGGAGGCTGTGCCTCCCCAAACAGCCAGGCATGGCCTGGCCCCCACCCCCATCCGACCCCCCCCCCCACCGCTTCTTGGCCCCCGAGACCCCTGCCCCATCCAACCCTCCTGTTCCCTGACGGCCTCCCCGGGACCCCTGCCCCGTCCATCCCTCCCTGTCCCTGACTGCCCCCCGGACCTCCCGCCCCTCTCCTTCCTGCCTCCCCCCCCCCAGGACCCCTGCCCCCATTCAACCCCCGTTCCCCACCCCGACCACCACCCTGAACTCCCCTGCCCTCTATCCAACCCCCACCCCCCGCCCCCTGACCGCGCTGCCTGGAGCACTGGGGGCTGGGGTTGCTACAGCCGCGCCGCCCGGATGGAGCCAGCCACGCACCGCGCATCCCAGAGCACCGGGTCAGGCCGCGGCCCTGCAGCTGCGCTGCCCGGCAAGAGCTCGCAGCCCCGCCGCCCGGAGCATTGTGCCAGCAGCACCGTGAGCTGAGGCTGCGGGGGAGGGGCCGGGGGTGAGCCTCCCGGGCCAGGAGCTCAGGGGCTGGGCAGGAGGGTCCCGCAGGCCGGAGGTGGCCCGCGAGCCGTAGTTTGCCCACCTCTGGTCTTCACTTACATTTGGCTCCCACAGACATAAGTGCCCTGGTACGCTGACTTAATAACATCACCACCCAGAGCAGCGGAGAGTCACGGTCAATGCAGTTTGGTCAACAGGGATAGTGTAGACACTGCCTTACTTACACTGGCTGTTACTGGCCTCCACGAGCTGTCCCACAATGCCCCGCAGTGACCACACTGGTCACAGTTGTGAACTCCACTGCCCTCCCCATTGAAGCCCTGAGTATTTTTGAAATCTTTGGTTGCCTAGTGTGGTAAGCACCTGGCACTTCTCCATTGTTGAGTGTAACCGCCCAGCTGACCATGCCAGCTAGACGCTGCAGACGCGCTCCTGCCTGGAGCGGACAGAAGATACTGCATCTCCTGGGCCAGTGGGGAGAAGAGGCTGTGCAAAAAGAGCTCTGACCCAGCCACAGAAACATGGACATCTACGAGCAGATTGCTTGGGGGAGGCAGGAGAACGGCTACAACAGGGGCCCGCAGCAGCACTGCGTGAGACCCAAGGAGCTGCAGCAGGAGTACCAGGAGGCCAGGGAGGCCAACAAGCAATGTGGTGCTAAAAGAGGAGGAGGAGGAGGACTTGGGGTCACATGTTCCAGGAGATTCTGCAAGCCAATGCTGCATCGGGGAAGGAGCACAGGGCCTGGAGGATAGCCTGGAGAAGGACGGAGTGGAGAGGAGAAAGGTGCAGGTAAAGGAGAGGAATGTGCAGGAGGAGGTGCTTGTGCAAACAGATGCTGTAGACTCTGGCAGACTTGCAGATTCAACAATCCCATGCTCGCGTCCGCCTGCAGCCCATTGAGAATTCAATATCGGGACCTCCCTATACCTCCCTGCCCCCAACATCCCAGGTGGCAGCAGGGGTCAGTGCATTAACCTTGCCACTCCACCTTGGGAGACATTAAAGACATTCACAGCATCACATACACTGACCTGTGAAAGCCACGGTTGGTTTATATGTACCTGAAATGGAAACGAGTGTTCTTTCCCCTTCAAAAGTTCTGTTCCCTTAATTGATTAAGTTTTGTATTTTTTTTTTTAATTTCCTGGTTCATGTTACGGAATAAAATTATATTTTTGGAACAAAATTAACCTTTATTAGTTCACAACAGTTGCTGTCTGGTGCTGAGCAGGTCTGACACTCACCAATTTCCTGTTACTTCACTTTGTCACAGAACCCATAACATCATCCACAGACATTATTTATAGGTGCATTGACAATGTTACAGGTCTACGTACATAGCACTCACTACAAGATTCATACCGGGCTGAAAATGAGCAGGGCCAGGCAGAGCACCCTTCAGCAACACACACTCCTCTGGCACACTATTAAAATTGTCTTTCAAAGCCTCCCTGAACCATATAGCTTCATGTTGAGCTCTTCTAATAGCCCTGGTATCTGGCTGTTCACATTCAGCAAACAGCCACTCCACCGCCACCCTTTTCCCCTGTAGCTTCACAGATATTATGCAGAACACAGCTGGCAGCTATAACCATTGGGATATTTTTCTCACTGAAGGCCAATCTTGTAAGCAAACAACGCCAGCAACATGGGCAGCCAGTGACACAGCTGTTGGGGGAGGCTAGCCTCTGGCCCCTCCCGTTCTGCCCACCCTTCTCTTTTGCCCCCCTCCCCCGCAGTAGCACCCCCACCGCAACCCCAGCAGCAGCGGCCAGCCCAGGAGTGCCGTTGGGCGGCCAGCCCAGGAGTGCCGTGCAGTTGTGCCCCCAGCCCCGGTGCTCTGGGAGGCCGGGCGGTGCGGCCTCAGTGCCCACAGTGCTCCGGGCAGCCAGGCCATCCCCAGCCCCAGTGTTCCAGGGGGGCGTGGGCCCGGCCCCAGCCCCAGCCGCCTTAAGTCCCTGCGGGAGTGGGAGGCAAGCCAGCCAGGGGAGAGCACTGGGATGTGCAGGAGGGGGCAAAGCACGGCTACACTAGGCTGTTTGGGGAGGCACAGCCTCCCCCCGCCTACGATACCTGCCGCCCACGGTCAGCAACCCTTCAGATACTCAAAGGCACATTTGACTGTCATTCTGCACCTGCTGAACCTGTATGTGAATTGTTCCTTGGTGCTGTCGAAGTGACCGGTGTACGACTTCGTGAACGAGGGGATCAAGAGACAGGCTGGCTTTCCCACGATCGCTATTAGCATTTCAACATTCCCAAAGGTAATTCACCGATCAGGAAAGAACGTCCCTGCTTGCAGGTTTCTGAACCGTCCTGCGTCTTAAAGAGGCGAGCATCATGCCTGACCAGCTCACACGGACGTCAGTAAAGCAGACTGCATCGGTGTAAGCGCTCCTGGTGAGGACGTGCACCACCAACACCAGGAGTCCAGTGTGCACATGCACCAGCCATGTAATAACCGCAGCGGCTGTACGCGGATGTAGCTTAGGTCGACATACGTTTGCAGTGCAGACAAGGTCTCTGTCTGCCTGTCCTTGCCAGCAAGAAGATATATCCAGGGGCACACACTGCACGTCTGCTGTGGGCTGCCCAGGCAGACTAGGGGCTTGTCTACGCTTAACACACAACAGCAGCAGAGCCGCGGTGCTGCAGCATTTCAGTGTATGCTTCCTACGCCGACGGACGGGGGCCTCCCGTCACCATCCATAGCACTGTCTACACAGGGACTGAGGGCGGCATCACTACGCCGTGCAGGGGGGTGGCTTTTTCATACCGCCGGCGGACGCGGCTACACCAGTGCAATTTGCTCGTGTTGAATGAGCCTAGAATGCAGCTCATTCTTCCAAATCTCACCCGCTGTTTGAGCCAGCGGCCGCCGCAGATTGATTTGGAAGACCTAGGCTGCTTTAGCAGTCAAACCCAGAAAAGCATTTTGATAACTCCATGACTGGACCTCAGAGATACACCAGGTACAGAGCACACCGAACCCCACGCTAAATCAGACAGGACTTAACAGGCTTGATGCAGGAAACTCTGGGCGAACTTTTGTGGCGTGGGTTAGGCAGGAGATCAGACCAGATCCTAACAGTGCTTGGAATCAATCTCTCATTCAGGGAGGGTCTCTAGGACTACGACAGTTAAGGTTCCCTAATGGGTCTCATTCAAACCCTGTTTTCAGTTGCTTGTAACTTTCCAAAACATTCTCCTTTCTGGTTGATATTTCTGGGGCTCGGTCGCTTTCCATAAAGGTGACTTTCCGTTTGGAAAGTTTGAACAAACCCAGTTCAGGGAACAAACAGGGACAACGCACACTCACCGCACTACAAACAACGGAGACTTAAATAGAAAAGTTTGACCCACAGCTGGGAGTAGAAAGCTCAACTTGGCCAGGGCGACAGCCTGTGCAGAGAAACACTGTGGCGTGTTTGATGAAAGCTCGGCTCAACTGGACCCAGGTAGGGGTCCAAAGCCAGTGTACTTCTTGTGTGCAGCGCACAGGGGTAGAGTGTTTAACCCTTTCCAGGGCGGCGGGTGGTAAAGGCAGGCTATGCTGTGCACACAAGTGATGCTCAGTAAGGAAGCGGCTTGGCTACCCAGCCCTTCCCTTACCCCCTGTATTTTGGGTCCTCCGGCCCAGGCAAGGCGAACATCCACAGCTACCCTTAGACCAGGTGTTGAAAACGCCAGGGACACCCACTGTCCTGCTTCAAGGCAGGACCCAACCCGCGGGCAGCCTGGGGGCAGGGAGGCGCTGCCCCTGGGGATCCATTATCCCACCCCTGGCGCCCTCACGGGTTTTTGCCCTGCGGCTGAAGCGCCCGGGGCTGGCCCCGCTCAGAGCCATGAGACGAGAGGGCGCCCAGGCTGGCCCGGAGCTGCAGTGTCCGGGGATGGCTCCCCCAGGCGCAGACCCCTCTCCCCCGCCGCAGCAGGGCCAGGCGGACCTGCCCAGGGGGTCCGGGGCCCTCCGCGGCCGGCTCTGGGGAAGCGCCTCCAGCTGCCCGGGGGCTGGAAACTTGCGAAATGGGTCGGGTCTGCCCGGGCCGATTGCGGGGCTCCCGGTGGGGAGCGGTCACCCCAGCCCGGAGCGGGGCTGCGCCCGGAGCCAGCCCGTGCCTGGCGGGGGGAAGCGCCAAGACACCCCGCGGAGGCGCGGAGCCCCCCGATCTGGGGGGCCGGGGGCTGAGCCACGCCCGCCCCCTCCCCGCGCCTCGCACCTGCTGGGACGCCGGGCGAGCTCGGCGCTCGAGGCTCCCCTCCCGGGACCGCTCCTGTCCCTGCCCCGGGGCAGAGTCCGGCCGCCCAGCCGCTCGCGATCCCCACCCCTCGGGCTGCCCGCGCCCGGCCCGGCCCGGCCCGGCTCACTCACCCAGCAGCGCGGCCAGCCCCAGGGCCAGCGGCAGCGGCTCCATCCCGCCGGCTCCCAGCACGGGCGGCTGCAGCGCCGCGCTCATGCCGCCGCGGAGCAGAGCCGAGCGCGGCAGGTGCCGGCGCGCAGCCCGGGGCGGGAGGAGGAGTCGGGGGCGGGGCCCGCTACCCAGGTGGGGCGGCTCCAGCAGGTGGGGGGAGCGGTGGGGGCGGGGCAAGCCGATCAGGTCGGGGTGGGGGCTCCCCAGGCGGGGGAGGGGCTGGTCCTGTGTCCCGGGAGAGCCCGTGGGAGGGGGGAAGCGCTGAGCCCGGCGCTGGAGGGGGTCCCCGCTCTGGCACTGCCCAGCCAGCATTGCCCGGGAGCCGGAGCCTGCTCGATCGTCTCCTGGTTTTGCCCCCCCCTCCCCGCCATCAGACACAAGGCTGAGAGGAGGCTCCGGGCGGGGACTCAGATCGAGCCGGGCTCTAGTCCTCTAGCCCCAGCTGCAAAACGCAGAGAACAACTTTCCATTCCCTCTCCCCTTCCGGGGGGGGCGGGGGAGCTCTTCAGGGCAAGGGGGGGGTCTCAGCGTGGGTGCAGGGCTTGGCACCCTGCCTCCCTGCTCAGCCCGAAGCACTGCTGGCATCCCCACATTATACACCTGGTCCTAATAATGTACCTGCTGCAGGATGCTGGCTGGGAGGTAAGCCCTGACCCCCAGCCACACTAGCTCAGGGGCTTGGCTCCCCCGTCCTGGCTGATAGCTGCCCTTCTAGGGAAACCCTACCCCACACAATACAAACCCAGAGAGACAGGGGAGGGGTATAGCAGGTGAGCTGAGGGGCTGGGCCTGGCAGGCCTGAACTTTGTGACTTACAGGAGTGGGAGGGCTGGGTGTGAAACATTAACTCCCCTCCTCCCACCACAACGTCCCTTCTCTTTCACCCACACCAGCTGCCCCTATCCTTTCCCCAGCCCAAACGTTCAAGCCTCTCCCTGTCCCTATCTGGCGAAGAACAAGTCACTCACCCCTAGCTGGCCTAGACCCTGGTCCTGCCACAAACACCCTGTGAGATCCTATTGTAGGATCAGAGTCAATAGTCAGTAGCCTTCAGGTGCTGGCAGCTGAAGGGTTCTTGAGCTTGCTGCCATTGGACCAGGCCGTGGGGGCAGCATGTGCCATTCTGGGCACCCGCGTTCAAGAAAGAGGACTCCAAAGAAGGGCTGCAAGGATGCTCAGGGGAACTGAGAGATCGTGTTGTGAGGGGTGTTTCACAGAAGATGGGATCCTGGTTCCACTGAAGCCAGCCAGCTCTGCAACAGATTAAAAGGGAGGTTTTGCCCCAAAGTTCAAGCTAGGAAAGGGAACTGTTAGTAGGTGTCACTCCTAGTTCACATTTTATGATTTTGGTTTGTAGTGTAGCCATTTGTTTCCAGCACTCTCCTGTTTCCAGTGGAATCTCCGTCTTTCCTTAACTAACCCTTTGCTTGTTTCAGTACCAGGGCCATGTGTTATACAGGAGCACCCTGGAGGCAGGCGGTAACAAGATGACTCTCAGGCCTGGGCACACAACCTAGCTAATTTTAAGGTGGAGCTTGGTAAATTTAGGAAGAGAACTATACGACTGGGCTGCCTGCAATAAATGGGGCTGGATGTGAGGAGCCAGAAGGTCCATTTCAGTCCTATGTTCCTAAGGGGGAGGCTTACACAAAGGGCTCCAACTTTTGCCCATCCCACCTGGAGTTGCTGTGCATATGCAGTTTCTCCTTAGTGACTGACACATAGTGTACGTAGCTCCAAGGTGTGAGCAGCTGTCCTCACACCAGCCTCGCATTCCCACTCATTTGCAGACACGCTGCTTGGAGCTGTGTTCTCAGTCTGGCAAGTTTTACTCTAAATTAAAAACAAAACAAAACAACCCTGAGACTAAACTCAACAGCACAGAGAAGGGGAAACAGCTAAACAGAGCGAGCCAGAACAAAGCTTAGTGCTTCTGCAATGCCTCCACGCAGGACCTACGAGCACTTCAGAGTCTGGCACAGCTTCCCCTTAACACTGACCTACTCAGCACACAGGATCTGTCTCGCTCATAAACACCACAACTTTAGCATGAAAAAGCAAATCAAGTCCCTGATCCCCAGTGAAGATGTTACACCTTCTGCATCTATGGCAACTCCTCCAGCTGCAGCCAAAGCAGAAACATGCCTTGGTCCAGAAGTTACAATACAGTGATCTCAACCGCATGCAGTGTTGCTGTAGCCATGTTGGTCCCAGGATATTAGAAAGACCAGGTGGATGAGGGAATAGCTTTTACTGAAGCCACTTCGGTTGGTGAGAGACAAGTTTTCGAGCTCCACAGAGCTCTTCTTCAGGGCTGGGACAGGTACTTCAAACTGCAAGGTGGAACAGATTGCCTTATGACTGCAGAGGTATTAAAAGGCCCCTCTGCCTTGAACGATCCCTTATAAGATGTGCTAACTGCTTGTGCTAAATAATCTGTTCCACTCTTAAGAAGAGCTCTGTGTAGCTCAAAAGCTTGTGTCTCTCCCCAACAGAAGTTGGTCCAATAAAAGAGGTTACCTCCCCCACGTTGTCTCCATAATGAGCTGAACTGGTGTGTTCACATACCGACTTTCATAGACTTTAAGGTCAGAAGGGACCATTATGATCATCCAGTCTGACCTCCTGCACAACGCAAGCCACAGAATCTCACCCACCAAATGCTGTAACAAACCCCTAACTTATGTCTGAGCTATTGAAGTCCTCAAATCGTGGTTTAAAGACTTCAAGGTGCAGAGAATCCTCCAGCAAGTGACCAGTGCCCCACGCTGCAGGGGAAGGCGAAAACCCCCCAGGGCCTCTGCCAATCTGCCCTGGGGGAAAATTCCTTCCCGACCCCAAATGTGGCGAGCAGCTGAACCCTGAGCATGTGGGCAAGATTCACCAGCCAGACACCCAGGAAAGAATTCTCTGTAGTAACTCAGATCCTACCCCAGCTAACATCCCATCACAGGCCATTGGGCATATCTACCGCTAGTAGTTGAAGATCAATTAATTGCCAAAATTAGGCTATCCCATCATATCATCTCCTCCATAAACTTATCAAGCTTTGTTCTGAAGCCAGATATGTTGTTTGCCCCCACTGCTTCCCTTGGAAGGCTATTCCAGAACTTCACGCCTCTGATGGTTAGAAACCTTCAGCTAATTGCAAGTCTAAACTTCCTGGTGGCCGGTTTATATCCATTTGTTCTTGTGTCCACATTATATCATTTCAGGCTGCCTCAGACTCCAGCCCTGGTTACACTCAATCACACTAGTTACTCAATAGCCACACGAGGATTAGAAGTGTACTTTTTAAAAATATGAAATGATAGATTCTGTGGCAAGTTCCAGGTTCTGGAATCAAGGACTATGGGAGCTCCAGGTGCAGGCAGGCTTCTTCTCCCACCCACAGGGCATTTTTCTTCATTTCACCAGCAATGGTGACGAGTGCAGCATAACCCCGCTCATCTCCCAGGTGGTCTCGTTTGGGGCCCAATCCTGCACTTGGAGCCACACACAGGCATGCTCCATTGATTTCAGCCAGACTCCATAGAGGCACAAAGGTTTGCAAGTGTGGATTCAATAGCAGGAGCGGGGCCTGTCTTCGCATCAGCTGCACAGACTGGGCTCAGCGGGCAGAGCTTTGCAGACAGTGATTCATTTTGCCATGCAAGATGGGGCAGGGGTTATGGTGACAAACACATTCTTGCACCATGCGATAGGCAGCAGCAGCATTGGCAGGAAATCCATCGGCTGGCTCCTCCCAGCAACTGCGACAGAGTCCTGTCGCCCGCCCCTCCAAGGACCCCTCTGACAGTGACGGGAGCGGTGACCTGTATCCCCTCCACCTCAGGCCTTTGGCTCCCCCATCCCTGGCTTCATGGCAACTCAGCACTCCTCTGTCCAGGGTCCTTGCCTGAGACCTTGTCCACACAGAGGGCTTAGCTGGTTGGTGCGCAGTACTGTGTGCATGGGGTTGCTGTGCCCTCTTTCAATGTCCATCAGCGTGTACTTATGGTTCAGGCTACGTTTTAGTCACGGGTATTTTTAGTAAAAGCCATGGACAGGTCATGGGAAGTAAACAAAAATTCACAACCCGTGATCTGCCAATGACTTTTACTACATATCCCTAACAAACTTGGGCTGGGGGGCTGAGGGAGCTCTGTGAGGGCGGTCCAGGACCCACGCTGGTGCTGGGAGGGAGGGTTGGTGGGGCTCGAAGGCTCCCTACCCGGCTCCAACTGGTATGCCCCTGCAGCTCCTAGCGGGAGGGGCAGCCAGGGGGGCTCCGCACGCTGCTCCTGCCACAAGGGCCCGCTTCGTGGCTCCCATTGGTCGGGAACGCAGCCCATGGGAGCTGTGGGGGCAGCGTATGTAGTCATGGGCAGCGTGCAGAGACCCCTGGCCCCTCCACCTAGGAGCAGCAGGGACATGCCGATGGGAGCCAGGGAGCCCCCCACAAAAGGTAAGCACTGCCCCGCACTCCAACCCCTTTCCCTGAGCCCCCTCCCACACCCAAACCGCGGCTGCCCCAGCGGCTGGCCGACTTGGGCAGCCCGAACCAGCTGCTGCAGAAGTCACGGAAAGTCACGGAATGCGTAACTTCCATGTCAGACACGCAGCCTTATTCATGCTACACACAGCACTCTAAGGAATTACATTGTGTGCACACAGGCATCTGCACACCGACGAACTAGAGTTAGTGCGGACAAGGCCCCTGGGTAGACAAGCCCTGAAATGGACAGAGGTTGTAGCTTACAAAGACTCTCCGCCTTTCAGCACCTCTCCTAAAGGCTGCAGGGTTCTCTTCTCCTTGGGGATGTCTGTGCAAAGTTATCCAGACACAAGAAATCTTAACAAAAAGAAGAGCTATTACAAACAGACAATGGAATTAAAAAGAAAAGAAACCATTTGCTTAATGTACCCAAGATAGCAGGGGATGGAACCTGGGACCTTTGGATCGCCAAGTGTGAATTTCTGCTGCCTGAGCAGAGACCCAGCCCCTGTGGCTCACACCCACTCACAGGCCAAAGGGTTGAGCCATGGGAGGGCGGGGGGGGAGAGCGCGCCACACTGTGGAAGCCTGGGTTATATCTTCATTAATGATCTGGAGGATGGTGTGG